GGCAGATGTCCTCATCTCTGTCATACCCAACTGAACTCTGACTTGCTCAACTCTTGCTTCAGATCACCTAGAAACCAATCCAGACTGCTTGAATGCTCACATGACGTGGGGTAATGGGAGTCACCAATTTTTCCTTCAGGTAAAATGGACTAGGAAACAAACCTTGCCATCTGTACTTTCTAAGGACTTGCTGGCTTTATCATTTGCCCTTCTTGTCTGCCCTACAGTATCCCGATATCATCTGACCTTCTGACAATCTAAAGATGCCTGTCTGGGCCACATAATTTGCCCCTTTAGGGTGCATCCTTATGAATTTTAGGACTTAGAACTTTTAAAAGCTTTTTATTTACCCAGCAAGTGAGCTCTCTAATATGTTGTCTTCCCTCCCTACCCACCCAGGTGTGAACTTGACCACAGACTTATGTCTTTCTGTATTTGTCATCCATCCCCAGTACTGAGCATAGCACTTGGAACTTAGTAGGATAGGAATTCAATAAATGTTTTTTCATTTAAAAAAAGAAATCAGAACCCTACAATATGTTGTTTACAAGAAATATATTTGAAGCACAGAGACACATACAGGATAAAGGTAAGGGGCTGGAGCAGACTCCATTATGCTTCAGCTGAAGTTAAAAAAAAAAAAGTGGGATAGCAATCATGATCTCAGACAAATCAAAAGCAAAAATAGACCTAATTAAGAGATAAGGAAGGAAACTATGTCTTGATGAAAGGTACCATAGATAGTTAAGTCATATCAGTACTAAACATATGCACCAAGTAGTATAGCATCAAAATTTTTGAAGAAGTTGAAGGAGTTACAGGAGGAAATAGAGAATAAAACCATACGAGTGGGGGATCTCAACTTTCCCCTCTCAGAACTAGATAAATCTAATAAAAAAATAAACAAGAGGGGCAGCTCAGTGGCGCAGTGGATAGAGCACGGGTTCTGAAGTCAGGAAGACCCGAGTTCAAATCTGTCCTCAGACCAAACACTTGACAATACTAGCTGTGTGACCTTGGGCAAGTAACTTAACCCCAATTGCCTCACCAAAAAAAACCAACCAACCAAACAAAAAAAAATAAACAAGAAAGAAGTTAAGGAGGTGAATAGAATTCTGGAAAAGTTAGATATGACAGATCTCTGGAGAAAATTGAATAGAAAGGAATATACCTTTTCTTCAGCAATACATGGCACCTACACAAAAATTGAACATGTGGTAGGGCATAAAAACCTAACAACCAATTATAGGAAAGCAGAGTGCATCCATTTCTTATCACAGTGCAATAAAAATTATTTCAATAATAGGTAGTGGAAAGATAGATTAAAAATTGGAACCTAAATAATCTAATCCTAAAGAATGAGTAGTTCAAAGAACAAGTTGTAGAAGTAATCGATAATTTCATTAGAGAATGACAGCAATGAGACAACACATGAAAATTTATGGGATGCAACCAAAGCAATATTTAGTGAAAAATTTATATCTCTTATTGCTTACATCAATAAAATAGAAAAAGAGCAACTCAATGAATTGGTTATGCAATTAAAAAATTAGAAAAAGAACAAATTAAAAATCCCCAATTAAACACGAAATTGGAAATCCCAAAAATCAAAGGAGAGATTAATAAAACTGAAAGTAAGAAAACCATTGAACTAATTAAATTAGAAGCTGGTTTTATGGGGAAAAAAACCACAAACTAAGAAAACAGATAAACCATTGGTTAATTTGAAAAAATGAAAGGGGTGAATTTACCACCAATGAAAAATTAGAACAGTAATTAATAGGAGTTATTTTGCCCAAATATGTGCCAATAAATTTAAGAATCTAAATGAAATGGATGAATATTTACAAAAATATAAATTGCCCACATTAGCAGAAGAGGAATAGAATACTTAAATAACCCAATCTTAGAAAAAGAATTGAACAAGCCATCAGTGAACTTCCTAACAAAAAAATCTGCAGGGTCAGATGGATTCACAAATTAACTCTACTATTTTTTTTAATTAAAAATTTTTTTTTCTGTAAAACATTTCCATATTAATAATTTTGTACAAAAGGATTTGAATAAAAGAAAAAAATGAAAGAAAGTGAAAAATAGCATGCTTCAGTCTGCATTTAGTCAGTATCGATTCTTTCTCTGGAGGTGGATTGTATGCTTCATTTTTAGTCGTTTGGTATTATCTTGCCAAGTCATTCATGTTCTTCATTGAACAATATTGCTGTTACTGTGTACAATGTTCTCTTGGTTCTGTTCACTTCACTATGCATCAGTTCATATAAGTCTTTCCAGGTTTTTCTGAAATCATCCTGCTTGTCATTTCTTACAGAACAATAATATTCCATTACAATCATATACCACAACTTGTTTAGCCATTTGATGAGCATCCCCTTAATTTCCAATTCTTGGCCACCACAAAAAGAGCTGCTATAAATATTTTTGTATGTGTGGATCCTTTTCCCATTTTTATGATCGCTTTGGGATATAGACCTAGAAGTGGTATGGGTCAAAGGGTATGCACAGTTTGATTGCCCTTTGGGCATAGTTCCAAATTGTTCTCCAGAATGGTTGGATCAGTTCACAGCTCCAACCGTGTATTAGTGTCCCAGTTTTCCCACATCCCTTCCAATATCCAATATTTTCCTTTTTTGTCGTATTAGCTACTGATGGGTGTGAGGTGGTACCTCAGACTTGTTTTAATTTGCATTTCTCTGATCAATAGTGAATTACAGCATTTTTTTTATGACTATAGATAGCTTTAATTTCTTCATCTGAAAACTGCCTGTTCATATCCTTTGACCATTTATCAATTAGGGAATGACTTGTATTCTTATAAATTTGACTCAGTTCTCTATATATTTGAGAAATGAGGCCTTTATCGGAGACACTGGCTATAAAAATTGTTTCCCTGCTTTCTGCTTCCCTTCTATTGATTGCATTGGCTTTGTGCAAAACCTTTTTAATTTAATGTTACCAAATTATCCATTTTGCTCATTTACCTTTTCTTATGTAACTTGTCTTTTCTTGCTATTTTCTCCTTTTCCTTGATTTTACTTCTTCATGTTCTTACTCATTTTTCTTAACACTCTTTAATACTTTCACATTCTTCCTTGAGCCTTCTTGAGACTCTGGGCTTGAAGATTGTTTTTCAGATTTTCTTTAATTTCTCCTCACTTCTCTCTTCCCTTCCCAAATTCAGCCTCTCATCTGCTTCACTACTTTTTGAATCCCTCCAAGTCACCTACACAGTTTTCTTCTACTTACTTGGCTCAAGTCCTTGTCACTTCTCCCAGTCTTTCTTCCATAGAAACCAGAAGTAAAAATAAAAGTACAAACAGTTGGGGCAAAGCAAGGACCTTTTGATGCTCATCCCATGTTAAGGATTTTTTTTCAGTGATTCTGAAATCATTTGAAAACACATTCATTCTATTATTCTAGACCTTACTTATAAATAAGTGGCAGTCCTCACCTGAACTTATAAATGGGGCTATACAGAGGCTTACTTTATAGACTACATAACAGCACAGATTTAGACCTGGAAGGAACCTCAGAGATCAACTTGAGTCAAGCTCCCTCATTTTACAGATAAAGAAAATGAGATTTGAAAAGGTTACTTGCTGACGATCCCACAGGCAGCAAGTAGCAGAGCCAGAACTCAAACCCAGGGTCCACACTGCTACCATTTGTCACAGAAATCACAAGTTCTTAGGATTAATCTGCATTGACATGTTAAATAAATTAGAAACAATGTGAGTTATTAAATCTAATTATTTAGAATATTAATAGTAATAGCTGATTTAAGTTCTGTTTAAGTAGAAAAGTTAGAAATTAAAAGACAGATTCCCCCAGTAGGTAAGTCATCTAAGGATGTGAACAAAGAATTGCAAATTATCAACAACTATATGAAATAGTCCCAAATCACTAACAATAAGCAAAATATAAATTAAAACAACACTGAGGTTGATATAAAAAAAAGTGACTATGCTGTTAATTCTTTTTCACCCAGAGGTTCCACTACTGAGTCTATATCCTAAAAAGGCCAAAGATTGCTAGTTATTCATATCAGCACTTTTTTTTTTTTTTTGGTAGCCGCAAAGCACTGGAAATAAAGTAGGTAATGGTCATTTGGGGAGTATTTTAAAAATTGTGGTGCATGAATATAATGGAATATTATTGTGTTATAAGAAGTGGCTGATATGGGGAATTTAGAGAAGCATGGGAAGATTTGTATGAAGTGATGCAGAGTGAAGTAAACAGTATAAAAGAACAATATAAACAAACAAGAAACTTTAAAACTAAACACTGTATAATTATAATGACCAATCTTAGTTCTGAAGACATGAGAAAATTTACATTCTTTTGTTTTTTGGAGAGGTGTAGGACTGTGTGTGTGTGTGTGTGTGTGTGTGTGTGTGTAAAATCAGTTTCAAGCTGTTTCAATTGGTTTTAATTGTTTTCTTTGTTGCAAAGGAAAGCTCACTGTTGTAAAGGAGTATTGATGAGGGGAGGGGTAAATACAGAAGACTGATATAAAACAAAAACACTAATAAAACTTTAAAAACATAAAAATAAGAAAAAATGTTGTAAAAATTAAAAGGCAGCTAATCTTAAATGAAGAGAAAGCCATGAAACCTAGATAGTAATTGTGATTATAATATCTGAAATTACCAGACATAGTGGTACTAGTGTTAAAAAGAGTAACTCATATTTTTTAGACTTTAAGCAAAAATTGAGGTGTAATTTTTTTTAACATGTATGTAATCTTAATATGGTTCTTTTTCATCCTAGAGCATCAGAAAAATCCTTTGGTATCATTTAATCCTCACATTAGTCAATTATAAAAATCAATGAAGCCTGTGTAAGAACTTAAGACTTACTTATTTTTTGCACAAGTTAATATTCTTCATATACATTATTAGTAAATAAGCGTAATGACAGTATGCAATAAACCCAACATAACAGCCCTTTTAGATTTTGGTATTGTTTTTTTTTTTTCCTTTAAGGTGAAGCATCTGTACTGGCTACCTTCTCTGTAACAGTAGGAAAAAAACAAGTTCCTGTAGCTGGCTGCAGAGTCCAAAAGGGACAATTAGAAAAAAAGATGAAATTTAAATTAATTCGTAATGGATGTGTTATTTGGAAAGGTAAGTAAAAATTGAGTTTCCTTGTCTACATGTAAGTTTTTCCTCTTGATAGACTGCAATATTCAACAGAAGTGGTACAGAACCAAATGTTAAAATTGGATTCGGTTTTTTTATGACTCATATGATTACAATCTTTTAATAATTCTCCTCAAGCTATTGACTTTCCATTTTTTTTTTGGTTATAATAAAATTTAGTCTTGGACTTTACCTTAAATAATCTCATCTCCTGGGACTTGGAAATCTTTTTAGTTTTTCTTGTGATAGTTATTTCCTTTGTAATTTCTGTTTTTAGTATGAAATGTGCAATGCTCTGTTACTTTTCATTAAATATCAAAAATGGTTTTTACTGTCACCATTGGAAGACAGCTAGTATTTAGGTTGTTTGGGTTTTGTAATCATCCTCACTTGACAGTAAAGTAACCTAAGTTAAGAGGTTATATGACTGACTTCCAAAGGTCACACAGCAGGTTAGGAGCTTAAGAAGTATTAAAATTCTCCTGGTTTCTATATTAGGAGTGTTTCTACTATACCTCAGTTACTTAAAGACATAGATACGTCCTCCAGAATGTTTTCAAAAAGATCCTATCTAAAGGGTAATGGTTAAATGACTTATGTCAACCATAAGGGATATTGTCAGTTGATTCTTTGTCCCTATTCTGTTCAGTATCTTTATCAGTGAATTGGATGAAAGCATGTGGCATGCTTATTCATTATGCAGGTGACAGAGCAAGGAAAGACTAGTAAATAGATTGGATGATAAAATTGGGATTCCCTCCAAATCTCAAATTGGAACAAATTGAGTAATTTAATGAGGATGAATAGTCTTATACTTGAGTTTAAAAAACCAACTGCACAGAAACGAGAGATAAATAGGATAAGGATTTGGGAATTATAGAGGCCAGTGAAAGCTTTTCAGTCATAGCTGTCACATGTAAAGAACTTTGACAAGCTGAAATATGGCCAGGATTACAAAGGCACCTGAAACCTTTTCAGGTCGAAAGAACTAAGGTTGTTTAGTCTGTGATAATTAAGCCTGGAAAAAATTTATGGAGAAATGATAGCTTTGATTGCTGTCTAAAAGTATTTGCCACATCTTAATCTTAATGCCTTCCCTATGACCTTATCTTGTTTTTCCTAAGTTTGTAATTGTTTGCATGTTGTCTCCCCCATTAGACTGTTTCTTGCCTTTCTGTATATCCCCAATATTGAGCTGTGTCTGGCATATAATGTCTATTGATTTGCTGACAATCTTGTTGAAGAGGAATTAGGCTTGTTCTATTTAGCCTTAGGAGCTCTGGACAAAGCAGCATATTTAAGCTTAATGTAAGCAAAAATTTGCTAACCATTGAGTGAGATAAATGGGCTACCTTTGAAAAAATAAGTTCCCTTTCACTCAGTCAAGTGGAACCCAAAGTTGGGGATGGGGTGGGTAGCATTCATGATTCAGATAGGGACTAGACTTAAGTCTGAAATTCTGATTTCAAAGATGATTTCTTGAATATACTGTTAAATCTACCTACCTAATGGCTAGTATATTTTATCTTTTAGGATTGTTAACTTCACTCAAGCATCATAAAGATGATGTTTCAGTCATAAAAACTGGCATGGACTGTGGTCTAACTTTGGATGAAGCAAAAATTGAGTTTAAGACTGGAGATGAAATTATTTGCTTTGAAGAGAAAGAAGTTTTACAGAAGACTTCTTGGGATCCAGGATTTTGAACTGTTACATTAAAAAAAAATGTAACTGAACATATTAATACTTTGCTTTATTTATCATAGAGCGCCTTTATGTATTTTTTACTTTAATGCTTTTGGAAAAAAAGTGTTGTAAATTACTGTGTAAGTAGTTTGTAGCTATGTTTGCCGTTTCATCGTCATTTGTTGGATACTTTCAAATCACATCTTCTATTGTGCCAAAAGAACCAGTCAGTTCAGTGAAAAAAATTTGACCAAAACCCAGACTATTGTCTCAATTTCTCATTGCCTTTATCTTTCATGTAAAATTTTAAGAACACTATATGCACTGAAAGACATAAGTATAAAGGGCACTGCTCTGGTTTAAGTCAATTAAGTCTCTGGTTAAAAGTCAAAGTCAATGTTTCCTCTAGTTAGTTGCTGTTATTTGTGTTCTGGTCTGTGTTTGTGGCTCAGGCACTTTTTCTGCAACTTTAGAGTGCCCTGAAGCACTGTACAGTTAAGGTACTTGGCCAGGGTCAGGTAGTCTGTGTCTGGGGTCATCAGAGTCCGGATACAACTGAAAAAAACAGTCCAAGCCTCCTCTTATTTTATAGATAGTCCCCAGAGTTAAGTTAGCTCTGGGACGAGTCATTTAAAAAGGATGCAGAACAAGAACCACTTCTCTTGATTACTATACTTCTGGTACCTCTCAGACACCTTAAAGTGCCAGAGAAGTACAATTAATGTGCTATATCAAGATTATTCATGCTTTGAAAAGTATTCTTAGATGAAACATCTTTACCATCAGCCCGACATATAAGGAAAAGAAATTCATTGTATACCCAGAGCATTTTTCATCTAGATAGCAAAAGCTTGCCCCGTTGCATATAAAACGAAGGTTCAGAAGTTAGCTATTAAACTGACCTTTTCAATATAGTAAATAAAGAGTTTCAAGAGTTCCATTTTAAATAAGTAGATCACTGAATCCTGAGAAACTGAAATGTAGCTAATAGATTTAAAGCTTAGGTGGCATACCTACAGGGCTGTTGCAAATTAAATTTATTTTCCTCCCCCTTGAAAAGCAAAGCCCTTTTAAACAAACATGCATAGTCAAGCAAAACAAGCATTGACCACATACAGAAATTTCACCCATCAGGAATCTGACAGGCTTCTTAATTTTCATATGGCACTAGAATGGTCCTTTTATTAAAAAAAGCCCCTTCAAATAAGAGTAAACCAACTTCTCAGTGGTAACACCTTTATCATGTTCCAGATTCCCATAAAGGTAAAGCACACACACATAACAGCAGCAAAGAAACTGTTCTGAGCCATAAGCTTAATGCTTAGGATGACTTAAGATGAACAGGAACTCATTTAACACACAAATATGGAATAAACCTAATAACTCGAAAAATAGCTGATTATTTTTTATTAACACATATACATTTACTTGTCTTCTGGCTTGTTGAAGCAGTAGGTTAGACAACACTTGCCACAATAATGTCTGTCAAAATGGCTAGCCATAAAGACCCCAGCACCACATTCATCAGAAGGGCACTCTCGCCGAAGGCGGCTAATCTTGCCGTTCTCATCAACCTACAAAAAAGTGAAAAAAATGTTTAAGAAATCTTTTTTAACATTTAAAAAATGCTCAATTTACTTAAATTTTCTTATTGTTAATTCCTCTTGACAAGATTTTGTTATCATACAATTCGCCCCAAACCACCCAAAGTTCAGAAATTCCATGCTGTTATGACGTTTATTTTTTTGCCTCCCATTTCAGAAACTCAATTATCAAATTGTGAGTAAAATATATGTCCAAGTGCAACAGCATTTCCAATCTAAAAGACAAAAGTTCCCATGTAGTAGGCTTAAAGTTTTAAAATAAATGCAGAAACCACTCATTTGGCCAAAAAGCACCACATATCTCTCTAGGAATACAATTCCTTGTTGACTTCGAATTGGAAATATTTATTTACCTTATAGTATTTCAGAACTGCAAGCTTAACCTTCTTTCTCTTATGCTTGTTCTTTTTGGGAGTGGTGTAAGACTTCTTCTTTCTCTTCTTGGCACCACCACGAAGCCTCAGAACAAGATGAAGGGTAGACTCCTATTTAACAGAACAAGTACACTAGCATTAAGTATCCAGATATTCACTATAAGTCATTTTTAGTATTCTTGACATTTTATAAACACTAACTGCACTACATAAATATGAATATAATTATGTTAACAAACTTGAATCACTTAGATTTCCAGCAACTTAGCATTCCAGGGCTAGAAAAAAATTTCAACTGAATGTATTTGTCAATTTCTACCTTCTGAATGTTGTAGTCAGACAAAGTTCGACCATCTTCCAGTTGCTTGCCCGCAAAAATCAATCTTTGTTGATCAGGGGGAATACCTAATAAAGACAAAGCCCAGAAATTTGCTTGATGTTTTAGCACCTTAAAAATTAAAAGCCTTTTAATCACTTTTACCTCCCTAAAACAACTTTGTTGCCTTCCTTTACCACTCCCAGATTTGCTCCTTTTATTACCCCCAAGATCAAATAATTTGGCTTTTAAAGTTCTTTTCCACCTGGCCCCTCCCTAATTTTCCAATCCTCTTACACATTACCCCCCCCCAGTGCCACGTCCCTCTAACCTCCTTTGATCCAGTGACACTGCCCTCTTTACCATTCCTCGAATAAGGGACATTTCTGCCTTTTTCACTGCCTCTCCCATCTTGACCCCTTTCTGAATTCTCTACTTCCTGGCTTCTCTTAGATCCCAGATAAAACCTCAAATAATGCAGAAGCCTTTCCTAGTCACCACTCTTAACACTACTGCACTCCTCCGCGATCACTTTTAATTTATTTCATCTCTACCTTGTTTTAAAATAGTTAATTGCTCGCTGTCTCCCCACCTTAGACTGTGAGCTCCTTAAAAGCATGGGCTGTTTTTTTTTTTCCTCTTCCCTTTTTGTATTCCCAGTGCTTTAAACAGCGGCTGGTGCATACCAGGAGCTCGAAAATAATGACTGATGACTTGCACACAATCCTCCAGAAACAACTTAAGTCTCTGGGTCAACACCGGTGAACAAATGGAGGAAAAAAGGTGCACAACTTGCCTTCCTTATCTTGTATCTTGGCCTTGACATTTTCAATAGTATCTGACGGTTCGACCTAAAAATAAAATAATTTCCTAGTTTAAACCACTTCCCCCAGGAAATTGGCACCCTCTTTATAAAATGTTCCGGGTCTTCCTGGTAGGTAAACACCCACTACCAGTAGAGACGAGAACTGCATTAACTATGCCGGAGTGTCTACAGGTTATCAAGGTCCCCGGGCACGAAATACGCCCGCCCACAGCCCCACTCCGGCTAGAGATCGGAACCCGCCGGTTCCACGTGCTCGGAGCCCCAGGGTCCATAGGGTAAAAGAGAGCCGTCCCCGCGCCGGGGCCCCGGCGCCAAGTTCCGGCGGGTGAGGTCTGAGTCCCAGACCCGGGGCTCCCGATCTCAGCCCTCGAGGAAAACGTCTGGCTCCCAAACCTAACCGCAGACCACGGCCTCAAGAAAGAACCTCAAAAAACCCCGGACCCACTCCAGAAAACGAGGCTCTAGATCCTCGCCTCCCCATCCCCTCAGGCCAAGGCGGTCGGTACCTCAAGGGTGATGGTCTTCCCCGTCAAAGTCTTAACGAAAATCTGCATCGTGGCACTGGGTCCACCTGAAGTGAGAGGAAAGGTAAAAGGGATGGTCAAAGGCAGCGGGTGGGAAGCAGGGAGGCTCCGCCACGGACGGAGCGCAAAGCATGCACACACTCACCCGTTGATGGCGGATCCGAAAGAGAGACCGCCCCGCCAACTCACGGGGTTTCCCACAGCTCCAGCCAAGGACCCTCAGGTGTTAGGTGACGCTGCTAAATGCCTGATTAAAATGCCGGAATGTGTTTCCTTCCCCCTCCCCCCCGCCCCTACTACCCATTCTGGACGCACTTTTTTTTACCTAAATCTTCTGAACTTTCTTGACCCGATAGCTTTAAAAAAGTCTTCTAACAAGAAAATATTTCCAAAAGCTACGATCATAATTAAAGACCCTTATAGGGTTGAGCCGGAGACGGCAGAAGGAGAAGGGCCTTTGTCGGATCCGGAGGTCTTGAGAGAGGTGTATTCTGGGAATTGTAGTTTTCCTTCGATGGTTTCTTCAGTCCGAACTGCTCTTCCCATGATGCAGTTCAAGGAATCCGGGATCCTAGGTTACGAACTCCTTCCGCCTCCAGTTACTGGCGATCAGTGTTTGACGCCTCGGTTCTCAGGTGAGGAGAAGCAGGAAGTGGAGGAATAGAAGGCAGGAGGAGGAGGAAGAGGCAGTCAGGAAGAGGAAAGAAGAGAGAAGGAGAAAGAAATGGAGGAGCAGGATTTGGAGGAGGGGATCGAGAGAGAAGGAGAAGGGGCTCGGGTGGTACCTGAAGGGGTCGCAGCCCGAGTCAGGCGTGCCCGAGGGCCCGAAAATACCGGGGAAGCGGGGCCGGCATGAATAGAAAAGGGTGGAAAGATGTCTTCTGTGTCCAGATCTTAGGTAACGTTGTGAAATATCAGAAAATTCAGTAACCTCTGGGCCATCTCCATTTTGTGCCTTCTCCAATCCAGCAACTCTTCTGCTCCATGCATTGCACCCATGACCTCCGATGCCCCTGATCCGTTTAAAAAAAAAAGTGATAAATCAATAAAACTTTAAAATGAATTAATTTGTTATTTATGGTAACACCTCAAAGTTTTAGGCTTCCAAATTAGCACGGAATAGCGGGTGCCATACATGAGAATCTTCTTCTAAAATTGGGGAAAAGGCAATTTTGTTCAGTCTTTTTAACTTGATCTTCGCCACAACCCTGCATAATGGGTGCTAGCGTTCTTATTTTGCAGATGAAGAAATTGAGACTGAGAGAGCTTAAAGTGACTTGTCCAGGGGAAAATGACTTAAAGTGTCGGAGGCAGGATTGGAACTGAGGTCTTTCTCACTCCAAGTCAAGCACTCTATGCTCCGTGCCACCTAGCTGCTTCTCTCTTTTATCTGTGATTTGAACACTCTTAAAGTAAGGATTTCATAGATTTTTAGACTTTGAACGGACATCAATGGCCATCAAGTCTGATCCATACCTGAACTGGAATCCCTGTCCAGCGTATTCAGGTAGTCATCTAGCCCCAGCTTGAAGATCTCCATAGCTCTAATTGTTAAAATGCTTTTCCTGACATTGAGGCTAAATTTGCCTTTTTGCAACTTCCATCCATTGTTCCTCTTGCCATTTTCTGTAGCCAAACAGAACATATCTAATCCATCTTAAGTCTTTTCCTTTTCCATTTTTTCCATCTTCTGGCTCTTACTAAGACTTGGTTCCTTCCTGATGACACAGCCTTTCTGGATACCCTTTCCAACACAGGTTGCGGGTTTCACTCAGTCCAACCCTCTCCACTGGTTGAGGTAGGGATAATTGAAATACTCCTTTCTCCCCATTGCCACTTCAGAGTTCTTCCTCTACCATCATCACTCCTTAACCTTTTCTCCTCAGAGGTTCACTCAATCCATGTGTACCAGCTAGGTGATGAAGTGGGTAGAGTGCTGGCCATGGAGTCATAATGGCCTGAGTTCAAATTTGGTCTCAGACATTTACTAGTTGTGTGGCCCTGGGCAAGTCATTTAGCCTCTGTTTGCCTTAGTTTTCTCAACTGTATAAAATGGGGTTAATACTAGCACCTACCTTACAAGGTTGTTATGAGGACAAATGAGATAATATTTGTGAAGTACTTAGCATAGTAGGTGCTATATAAATGCCTGTTTCCCTTACGTTACCCCATCAGAATTCTGGTTGCTGTTGTTTACTGACCTCCAGGACATGCCCCTCCCCCCCTTTTTTTTAGTGAGGCAGTCGGGGTTAAGTGACTTGCCCAAGGTCACACAGCTAGTACGTGCCAAGCGTTTGGTCTGAGGCCGGATTTGAACTCAGGTCTTCCTGACTTCAGGGCCGGTGCTCTATCCACTGCGCCACCTAGCCTCCCCCCCTTCTTTCTTCAATGAGTTCATTGCCTGGCTCATAATCTTTTTCTCCTGCACAACTCCTATCTTCAGATTAGGAGACTTCAAAATACATATTGGTACTCCCTCAAAGACCCTAACCTCATAGTTCTTCAACGTATCATTTCACATGACCTACTCCGCTGGATCACAACTACAAAACAGAGATGGTTACATCCTTGATCTTGCCATTATCCACCATTGTTCCAGCTTCCACGTTCATGAACTCTGCCGTTATCACCCCGAGCATGGACTGTTGCAATAGCGTGCTAGTGGGTTTGCCTGCTTCAAGTTTCTTCCCACTCTAGTACAATCCTCCATTCAGCCACCAAAGTGATAGAGATGGGAAAATGGGCAGATTGGAGTTAATAGGTATTGGGATTTTTATGGTAATAATGTCTGTGAAATCTTCCAGTTGATATCCTCCCCTCTTTCAGATAGCTGGAGGATCAATACCTCAAAACTACTATCTCTAGCATGGACTCCCTACTTTGTTTAGTTCGACAGCTCTTACCATCTTTTATATTTTGCTTAGTGCTTTTTTGGGGTATCGAGGTGATGCAGTGGATAGAGTGCTGGGCGTGGAGTCAGGAAGACACATACATCTTCCTGAATACAAATCTGGCCTCAGACATTTACTAGTTGTGTGACCCTGGGCAAGTCACTTAACCCTGTTTGCCTTAGTTTCTTCATCTGTAATATGAGCTGGAGAAGGAAATGGCAAACCACTCCAATATATTTGCCAAGGAAACCTCACATGGAGTCACAGGAGAGTCAGACACAACTGAAACAACTGAACATTAGTGCTCTTTTGACTTCCTCATACAGGACACTGGAAAATATGATTGTAGAGGTCAAATGTAGTGGATCCATTATGATTGATGGAGAAAATAATTTATTATGATAATCTAGGCCAATGGTGTCAAACTCAAATAGAAAACAGATCTCTGCAGGCTGCATATTGACTTAGAAAACCACAAATTAACATTATCTTTGTTGTATTTTTATTTTGTTAAATATTTCCCAGTTATATTTCCCCCACTTTATCTATTTATTATAAGCTTTAATGATATTTTCTGTTTCTTATATCACCATTATATCCCATGTATCCTTCCCTTTTCCTCTCCCAAAGAGCCATCCCATGTGACAGATAATATTTTTGGAAAGAAAAAAAGTGAACACAGATGATTGGTACATTGGAAAAATTCCAATAACGTGCAGTGTGTAATATCTGTGGCCCTTCTACCTTCTCACAGGGGTAGATTGAAGGTATCTTCTCTTGTGTCTTCTTATGAGTCTTACTTGATCTCTTTTCCCCCAAAATTCTTTGTTTTTATTGTCTTTTAGAAAGAAAAAAAAAGAACATTTCCATGTATGCAGCAGAACATAAGAGAGGATTCAATATAAAACAATAAATTTCCATTTCAAGCAAACCTATATAATAAATACTACACATTGTTTTCAAAGCTACCCAGCTTTTTTTTTTTTTTTGCTTCCTTCTAGGTTTTCTTTTGTTCTCTGCTGAACACTTTTTACTTTACTTTTTTCACTTTACCCCCCCCCCCCCCCCCCCCCCCCCCCCCCCCCCCCCCCC